TTGTTTAAAAAGAAATTTTCTTCACCCTCATGGTAGATTTGAACAAAGAAATTAAAGCCGCACTCTGTTCCATTTTTTTTTAAGTTTCCAATTTGTGTACATTTTGGTAATTCAAATGCAGTAGCCTCAAACCCAGCTTGAAATCTGATAGATGCTTAATGGAATCATGTAAATTATACTATCTTCCAGATATTAAAGTCCATAAGCTGATGATGTCCTGCAACAGCTATTCAATAAAAGATACCATTCAAATTTTAAAGATCACTATTACAGTAAAATTAGTTACATTTCAACAACTTTATGAGAAAAGTGTAAATCCAATTATGACTAATACTTTACAACACATGGGTATTAACTGAAGCTGGGTCACGTTGGAATACAGGCAGAATTTGATATTATGGCTACATGAAACCAAATGGATTCTGGTGGTATTTCTATTCCCTTCCAGGAGTAACAGGTAGACCTTTGCAAAGAGCACCACTTGTTTCTGATAACTTAGGCACCCCGTTTAGGTGCTGAGGGTGCTGATGGTTCATCTTCAGCTCCTTTATTCACCAGAGGAGGGACAGCTCCCACAGAGATTGACTCAGACTACCCCAGGTAGCTCCTCATCTGAGTTGCTCCCTGCTGAGGCATTTCTCTTCCCATCAGCTTCACAGTTCAAAGGCCAGGGGCGAGTGTCGCTCTTGTAGTGTTTTTTCCCTTTCAGCCGTCTCATGCACAGTCATTACTTTGGTGGTGAATGCCTATGTGCTTTCTCCCACACTATCTTGAATGTGTGGGAGAAGCACCCCCCCAAAAAATTCACTACCCCTCTTCAAATTCCTTCTTCCAACTCTCCTTGCAAAACCCACAACTTCCTTAGAAACTACCGGGGTGATGAGCTGCAAGTTGTCCTTATGGCACTGACCAAAACTGTCACCTAATGATGTGCACCATGGGCTGCCCATCTGTGTCTCTTTGCAATCTCTTTGCTTCTGTTTGGATTATAATCTCTTTCAAAGGTGGACCATTTTAGTTTGCATTTGTGCAGCACTCAGACAAATGGCATCTTTTTCCCTCTTTAAGATTCCAGTGGGATATAGCAGCACAAATACACAGTAATCATATTTAATAAAGCAAACAGAGCTAATTTAAATTACTGCTTAAAATACATTGATATGTAATAGGTTATAAATAAAAAACGACCTACACACTGCCCTGGATATCTTTCAGAGTGTACTTTAGGAGGAGTCACTAAGTCAGTGTCACCAACCACACTTCCTAAAGCAACAAAATCCAAATTGCTGCAGCAGTACAAGACTGTGAGTAGCCAGGAGACACATAGGGAAAGTTTTAAGTTCAAACTTTCATCTGTCTTGTTGTGTTTCATCCCTAAAACTCTCAACAGTACATCTGAAAAGTCATTTCACTACATTTTTAAGGACTAAGCTGTGGTTCATAGTAGTCACTTGCAGGTGGTATCACTGGGCTTTGGACTGGACAAATTAAAAACGTCTTTAAATTTAAGCGGATTTTGAAACAAAGATGTGTGTGTTTGTGCACAAAGAGCTATAAATAACCCTTTTTAGACTGTCTTGTACTGTGCACATGACATAATTCTGTTCAGTTATCCTCCTATTGTTGATCACATTTTTTCATCCTGTGTTTTCTAGTGACATTTAGGTATGGTTATGGTTAAGTGTTAATCATAGACATAATTTTCATAGTCTGTCCCCTTCACAGTCAGTGCAAAAATAGTCACAGGGTATTCTTTTCTTGCCTAATTCAGAAATGGTTGAGAGATTCCTTTGCCCTTAGAAAAAATTCCTCTTGAGAGGTGAAGTATAGCCTGACAGCTGATCATAGTAAAGTGTCGTGCATGTAGCAGAGGTCCAAAATGGAAAAAACTTTGCCACCTTATCTGTAGTGAGTACTTTGGTGGCTACAGCAAAAGCCTTCAATACCTGCAGCACATTTAAGTCACCACAATGAGAGGATGGGTCACTTCTTGGTGTCCTCTGGGACCTTGCCAAAGAAGAAGTTGTTGAATGTCCTCTGCTGTTAGTTGTTTAATTCCCTTGGGGTGACACTCAGTTCCCAACCATATGAATGCATTGGCAGTGTGATGTGACTGTGCAACTAATCTGTGCAACCGCAATGATGAGATACCTCTAGTACAGATCCATGTTTATAAAGACCAACATGCAGGATGCTAGCAGGACCTGACTCACTGGGTTATGTGCAAGTCTGGTCCTCCAGTCAGAAAACATTAATTCACAGCCATATGTGAGCAGGGAGCAGACACCGTAACCCCGGGGCTGATCACACCACATGACACCAGAAATTCAGCTCAACGAAACACAAATGGAAAGGGGAGAACAGCTCTCCCTAGTGTATCACGGAGGCACTAGAAGGCAGCTGGGGATTGGGAAAGGTCTTAAAACAAAAGCAAAGTTTCAGTGGGAAAAGCCCCTAAGGGGCCGTGCAGTGGCACATGGGCAGTCTCGGAGAGGGTCTGTAGGGACAGAGATGGTGATTGCCCTTGGAAATCCCTTCCTATGCTCCTGTCCTGGCACAAGGTCACTAGGTACCCAATTCAGCCATGCAATTAGATGGGAATAAAAGATGCATTTCCCTTGCTTTGATCTCTGAACTGAGGGTGGGGGTGATGAGGAAATTTCACAATTTATTTGCCAAAGTGCCATCTAGCAAAGTATTTCTGTTACATTTCTAGTGTGTGCTGTCTGAATTGGGTCACCAAAATATTAAAAGGCATGTCTGTGTTTACATATGTTGCCCAAACACTGTGTGGGCCACATGCTAATAAGTGGATTTCATGTGGCATGCCCTTCCAATTATTCAAGAGTAATGTTCCCACTCAGAACAACAGAATAAAGCCAAATCCTTGACAATATTTCATCATTTCTCTCATGTATTTCAATCAAGTTACTAGGAAGCAGGCAACTAAATATCTGAAGGAGTAAAGGCTCAGTCATAAAAGGTGATATCCAGTCTGACTGTAAAGTCCAGCACTCCAGTTAAGAAATACACTGGAGTGTAGGTTACATGAGCACCATATACTGAGGTTTTTTCTTCCACATTTCAGTCTGCACAGTTTGAAATAAAATGTCATTCAACTTTACATAATAAGTTCAAACAAAAATTATAATTGATGAGCCATAATGATTTAGAAGATTAGCTAGGGAACAGTTCTTTTCTACGTGTACCATGGTTAAAAAATATTACTATATTAATTCATACTATGTCATTAAATAAAATGGTTTTCTAATTCTGACTCCCTTCTCCGTGTGAAACTACTGAAATGCCACAAAAAGTCATTGGTATTAGGCCATATCCTTTGCTCCCTTTTCATACGAATTCCCCCTTGAAGTAATGAGTAAGGTTAAGTCAGAAGAGGGCCTCATTTTCTTTGGCCTTAATCTCATAAATCCTTGCACGATGTACAGCTGGAAGCTTAAAAGTGTTGCTCTCAAGGCTAATTTTGTGGCAGAAGAGTCTGGATGGTGTAGCATAGTGTGTTTGAGTGCCAGCTAACTGTCTGTGTCCTTTGCCCTGTCACTGTGCTGGTTTTCCTTGCCTCCTCCCATATGAAACTCGCCTTGGTTATTTTCCAAAGCAAGTACAGGCAGATGCTGCATCTGGGCTGCAAGGAAAGTTAGGTGGGAGCTGCAATCTTCGGCTTAGTGCATGAATGATTCCCAAGAGCCTGTTCTCTTACACTGTTCTCTTCATGATGAGAAGGGCAAAAAAGGGGCACAAAGACAGTTAAGATGGGTGTCCAACGAGAACAGGAGTCTTGGTCAAAAGAACAAAGCAGGTGTAAAAGCAACATGAATTTCAGGAGAGTCAGTTCCTCTGACTAAAGAGGGACCCTCAGAATAGTGTTCCTCCTACTCTCTTGCTTTCCTCTTAGAATAGGACAGGTTGTGTTGATACCAACCCCAGGCCAGGCTATCTCCTCTTTCAATACTGCTTTCCTGAGTAGTGCACTGGTATCCGTGGTGTGCTGGCTTGAGGGACATTTTAACAGGCTTTCAGTCCTTTCTAAACATCTCCTCTTCTTTCCTCCCATTCTTCCTACAGAAGTCTATATTTTCAGAAATAAATTTTAAGCCTGGAGGAGCTATTACGTTTTGTAACTCTCGTCTTCCATGTAACACAGACCAGGAAACTTCACCCAAACATTGCTATAGCAAGTTTCCGTGCAAGCTGTAGCAAGTCTTCATAAAGGCAGCTGCTCTCCATATAGGGATCTCATGTGGCAGAATCTGGCACATATGTGGTCAAGCTACTCCAGGGCTTGATTCACCTCACTGTTTAAAAATGTTTAAAAACATCTCAAAATTTGACTGGCTCTAACATCCAACCACAAGGATCATAGTGTGTCTTTTTCTGCCAGATTTCTATAGCTAATCACTTCATTCCCAATCAAATCAGCAACGCGGGCAACTAAGTACTTTCCTGTACTTCTATGTGCTTTCCTGTACTTCCGAAGTTTATTTTTGTTCTTTCCCAGATATGTTCTTGCTCTCCACTTTAGCAGCTGGGCTCTCCTTCCTCACCTCTTTACTATACTAATGCTGTGAGCTTACACACCTGTTTATGCCTTCTGTTTTGTCCACAGACTTGTGAGAGCACAAGCCCTGTGGTATAGTCTCACCTTGTCTTGACAGTCATCTTCAATTCAATAAGGAATCAGAGGATGGTGTCTACCAGACATGTGAAATTTTGTGAGAGGATTGTGCTTGAGGGAACCCACATAAGTAAAAGCCTGACTTCTGAGATGACTGAAATCTAGGCTCTGAGGACTGCTGAGCCCAGCTGATGAAGATTAAAGCTCACATCTCAGCGGAACACAAATTTCTAAAAACCAATGATCAGCTGCTTTTGTAGAGTGTTACGTATCCTGAATTCACCAGAAGACAATATGGCTCCTGTTTTACCTGTTGGAACTCAGCCATGGTAAAGTGTAACCCAGTTCAGATGGTGATGCTTACATTACAACCATCAAAAAACATTTTTGGATGCTTCTGTTCCAAGTCAGATGGTTTTAGCATTTTGTCGTGCGGCATGCAGCTGAAGAGACAGGAAGCCCGGTTATCACTGTTCACAGACATGAGCTGCTTCCTCACAAAAAGCCACCAGATAAGCAGCCTCAGCCTGACTGAAATAATTAGGGGACACAGAAGATGTGTTCCTGCCCTGGGGCTAGCCACAGCTCCAGTCACTTGTTGTGAGGGAATGGGGAAATATCAGACCCAAAGATCCTCTCCTGCCTCAGAGAGCCTTCAAAACTGATGGAGAAGGAGTGGTGCTCCTGGACAGATCCAAATGAGGTGCTGCTGTGGCCCAGAAGCTTTGATCACATTCAGCACCCTGGCAGGCTCAAGGGGAGCCTGCTGGGCGTGAGCTAGGGAAAGGGTGAAGATGAGAGAGAATGGGCAAGAACAGACTCAGTTAGAGCTTAAAAGGGGAAATCTTTGGTCAATCTCTTGCTCTTACCTGCTAGACACATGTTCAGTCATGTTTCCCATCAAGAACTACCAAGGCTCTAAATACCAGTGGACCTTTCCAGAACAAAGCTCAGTAGCTTCCATCTTAAATAAACATATTTTCATAGAATCATAGAATGGCTTTGGGGTGTTTTGTTTTGGTGTGCCAGGCTTAAGGTCCATTTTCAGAAGTGCTGAGCGTTACCCACCAAAGGGGGTTTCCCACAGTTGTTGGTGCTCAGTGCCTCCGGAAAATGCATCTCAAGGGGGTTCTAAAGGATAGCCAAAAATCAGGAACAGCTTTTGAAATGTGCAGGCTTCCAAAGCAGCTGAAGCAGCTCTGCTACTAACCAGCCAACTTTCTACACTGCCAATCAGGCCTTCTCTAGCAGCAGCTTTTAAATCATATTTGGTCACTGAACAATTTTATTCATTGCAATTTCTGCAAGTGCTACTTTGTGAATATGGGCTTGGAACCACCGTCTCCTTTTTTGGTGTAGCAGTAGTTACGTCCATATGGTATCTTAGCTGGATCAATTCTGGATCTAAGTGAGAATTTAAGAGAAGGAAAGGAAAAGGATGAGGGAAATTCTTCTTTTTCCTTCATACGCCATCCAAAGAACAGACAGGCTACCCTGCTTGCACTTCCTAGAGATCCATATGGATTTCCATGGATATCCACCTGGATATGCATCTGAATATCCATCTTGGCATTTTCTGCAGTTGATAGTGCAGCTGTTTTTATATTTCAGTAAGGCTAGAACTTCACTCAAATTCTTGATAGAGTCAGTGAAAATTGTGCATGCATTCCTGGGGACAGAGCTTTGCCTTCTTATGCAACGTGTAAGAATCCCCAGGACAGCCCAGCTGGGCAAAAAAGAAAGGGTAGGATAGCCTTTCCTGAGTATCAGTGTGGTTTGGAGGCCAAGAGTCAGTGCGTGTTGGAAAGAAGACTAGCTCTTACACATGATCTTTGGCAGCACCAAGACACTGATCTCAGCCTTCAGACAGCACCAATGCATTGCTGCAACTGATACCAATGCTGCCACCACTTGCACTCTGCTCCTCATGACAGCCTTTGGGTGAGATGTGGATGTACATTTTACTGGATGGCCATTTTGCTTTCTCAGCTGTGGGTGAGACAACCTTAATGATTAAAACACCTGTGAAGCAAACAGAGTTACTGGATTTGTGGTTTAAGCCCCCTCTTGTGTCCCTTTTTTTTGGTGCTGACTCAGGCTGTTGCTTCTCTCTCCCTGTAGCTGCAGGCGATGGAGAGTGTCTTCCCTGGTCTCAGGCAGCCAAGAGGTACCAGCAGCTAAGCGAATACAAAATGATGAATACATAAAGCTTGCAATGCTGTGTAGACAGACATCCCCACCTTTACCAGACGCCTCAGCTCCTGCTGTCATCTCCCAAGTTAGACAAAGAGCCTGTCACAGCCAAACAGATTGGTACATTCAACAAAAGCCCCTCTGACCCACTCTCTTCTCCCGAGAGGCTTCAGCTCCTCTCAGCTTTTGCATCATTAGCACTCTTAGGGCAGGCAGGGGGTCATTTCTAATTTGTGAATGCCCTTGGACCACAAGGTAGGATTTTTAATTTGTTTACCTTGCATATTAAACAGTACTTTCAAAGGTACTGTCAATAAATCCTCTGTGAATAGGGATCTTCATTCCAGACGTAGTCATTACTTTAACTTTTTCAATTTGATTAGATGAGATAAAAAAAAATTCCTTGAGGGCAATCTCACTCACCAAACACAGTGCCATCACCAAAATCCCCAGAGGGCTGAGGGCAAACCTCAGGTTTTGTGACATGAGGGAAGAGCATCACTTTCCAAAGGTGAAGTCAAACCAAGTTGCTCATTCAGGTCCAGAAGTGGGCACTCAGCTTACGGGGTTGTGGCAATGAAAAGTGCCTCCTGAAAGAAGTTCACACATGGCTTCTGCCCCTCAAGAAGGATGCAGGGGGCTGTGTCACCCTGCCCATGGAACCCTCGGGATTGTCTAGACCTCTGCTATCAATCCCCTAAGTGCCACACACAAGGAACCAACAGAGAAATCACAACTAGTTTATCAGTTTAATCTTCCCTCAGAGCTCCGTTCCATGTGGGCAAGCATAGCCCTCAACACAGCTGTTTCTCTAACAGGTTTGCATCCTCATGAAATCTTGTTTGTACACTTGTCCCTCTTGTTTCTTGTCCAGGAGAAAGCAGGGGGTTTTATTTATTTTTCAGCTTTTCATTTCCCAAAATACTTTTATTAAGCTTATAGGACAAAAACGGGAGTCCTTCCCTATGTTTGAATGTAAAGGCATGACAGGAGATCGGTAGCGCTCGCACTGTCTCCCCCTCTCTGCCTGATACGTGGTGTTGCAGGGTTACTGAGTTGTAGCACTAGTGTCAGATATAAAGCCACGTGGAACTCAGCAGTGTGGGTTCACAGGATTTGTGCTAACCTTGCTCCCACTTTTGGGTCCTGGGAGGTTTGCTTACACAGGTCTTGTGAGGCTTTGCTCACAAGACCATGTCTGAGTTTCAGGACACCTATAAAGTTGGAGCAAAACTTAGCTACTAAGCCATCTGTGTCCAATTTCTCATGGAAACTGTGGCAAAGCCATTTAATGTTTAATAGTATGTCATCAAATGGTCATTTGAAAGAGGTCCAGTCAAAATTGTCCCAGGTTTCCTCCTTCTTAGTCTCAAATTATTTCAAAACAATGCCCCATTTCTCAAAGGTGTGGAAACTACAGCAAATATGTAAGGACCCAAGAGATCCCCATCAAGCACAGTTGAGTTTATGACAAATTGGTTTCCTAGTCCTTCTATTATGGTACATCTCAGTAAATTTCATTGGCTGCTTCATAGGAAGCTGCAACAGGAAAAAAAAAAATTGAAAAAAAGGAAAAAAAAGAAAGGCAAACCAGAAACTACTTCACATGCAGTTATGACTTGACCTTTTCCAGGATAAGGGATCTGCCTTTCAGATAACTATGTTTAAAGGTTAACTTACATCCCGAAACATCAAGGATTTCATATGGGGAAAGAAGTGTGTTGTCACACGTAACACAAACTGAGCAAATTCTGTCAGCTGAGGGACAGCTACAAGCTCAAAAGATAGACTTCATTTTCAAGGAAGGACTAGACTTGCAGTGGCTGGTCTCACACAGGCAGCCCTAGCCATGGGGATAAACATCTCATGGGCTTTCCTTATGCCTTTTCATGAGCAACTGACGCAGTGATAACCGTTCCCTCTACTATTTGGCCTTGCCTGTAGTACCCATGGCCGCTCCACCACGGAGCAGAGATGGTTTCATAAAGCAGTCTGTGCGAACAGAAAAACAAAGCAAAAAAAGAGCCATGAGGGGCAATGGCTAACCTTGGCGTGAGACCACAAAGGGCCACCTCTGTTTGAAGAACATCTCAGCATTTGTCTCCCTGGTGTTGCCCTGGGCAACACCACTGCCCCATGGAAAGTCAATGAGTGCAAATGGCCCTGTACTATATGTCTAACATTGTGGCACAAGCAACACCGCAGGGCCTCTGTGAGCTGTGGAGCAGAGCCACATTGGTGATGGGAGCAGCACCCTGCAAAGTGACACGCTGGAGTGGAGGTACTGTGGCCACATCATCAGGGACAGCCAGCTTGATAGGCTGGGCCCTCTGAAAAGGAGAGGGAGAGGCCAGAAGAGCCCCTTAGACAATGAATTATCTAAATCAGGCACTAAGATGTAGCACTGATTGAAAAGCTTGTTCAAATTGCTTTCACTGTGATTCATAAACTCTTCATGCAAATTCATATGTTAGGATGAGCACAAAAATTAGAAAGCTGGAATAAGATTGCTTTAATTTAAATAAGAGCCATGGTTGTGAATATTAGGCTTTTACACTGTCAGCAGCAACCCATCAGATGTTAACAAAATTTGATATGCAACAGTTTTACATATCCCCTTGTGGGAGAAAGATCAACTTGCAAACGGCTTTATAAATCAGCCACAGTGTTAAAGTTAGGCTACTGTATCTAAATGGCTTTTAGATATGCTTCCTGTTTTAGGCTACCATATTTACAAATGAAAGCTTTTTCAAACCACGTCTTTTAATATAATTTGCATATTTAGTAATACATTGATTAACATTAAACACGGATTATTGCAATTTATTTCAGAAACAGATGGGATGCATTAAGTGAAAAGCCAGCGCATTTAAACAGAGCACACTCCCAGGCTGACTTCTGATGAATGATGAATACAAAAACTTTATTAACTAGCAAGAAAAAGAAAAAAGAAAGAGGAAAGGACACTTCACTCTGGCTCCTTTTCAAGCGCCTCCCTTGCTTGAAAGCCTACGAAACTGCTATTAAGGAGAATTTTAATCCAATAATATCATTCAGAGATGTGCATGGGTTTGTAGAAAGCCCTGGCACCTGACAAAATCCTGACCCTGGCTCTCAGCCGCAAGGAGGAGAAACCTGCCCCAGGAGCCGGAGTCACGTCCCCCGCTTCGGGCTCGTCCCTCGGTGCCAGCAGGTGGCAGCCGCCCACAACGCACATTTCCCCGGCGCGTTTTGGGGGTTTTCCTCGGTGCCGGGGAACTTCTGGGGCTGGGGGAAAGCTCCGTCGGGTTTCCTTCTGTTCGCAATAGCCTCGCAGCACCTGGCTTTCAAGTATGCCGCCTTCAGTTGGCACCTGATGGTAAGAACACTCTACAATAAGTTGTGGAGCTCTTGTGTGTGTTTGTCTCTAGATGATGCGTACATAATTTTGACACAAACACAAGATTGTGTATTTATACATAACCCATATAAAATTATCTATATATCAGCCACATGTACCTGGATGTGTATGTTTTTTAATAGCAAAGTGTGCATTTAGAGTGGCAACGCCATGTAAATATGCTACACATGGTTACATATATTCTCCTCTAAGAGAAATCTTTCTTTCCCAAAAACACATTTGCAAATCTTTTGCCTTTTATTTAGGAAAGTACATTGAGATAATTTCAGGAAAGGATTAGGCAGTCTCATCAAAGGTGT